CAAACATTTCTATCCCCTTGAGATTATAACAACTCTCTCTTTTAATAAAGTGTAATTGGATGTTTGAAGGTAGTTTGTTTTTATGAGCCGTATACCTAACTGACAAAATACCATAATCAACCAAATCATAGAATTTCAATAAATAAATCCAACATTTCATTTTTTACAGTGCATGTTTATTGGGATTGTACACTTTCTTGGCACTTGTATTTAAAACTGATATTTGTGTGCTTTCCTGCATGATCTCCAGGACAACTGTGTGTTGGTGCCAAACTCTGGCCAAGAGGACGCAGACAGAGACGGGATGGGTGACATCTGTGACAGCGACGCAGACAATGACAGCATAGCCAACGAAGACGTGAGTGACTCGGTCTTTAAACTTTGTAATCAAACGTACGTTTCTCCGTCGCTGAGCTCCGTAAATCGGATCTGCCTGACCCAGGATAACTGTTGGCTGGTCCCGAACGTCGACCAGAAGAACAGCGACAAGGATCTGTACGGCGACGCCTGTGACAACTGCAGGACTGTTGAAAACCCTTCCCAGAGGGACACGGACCAAGATGGTCTGGGAGATGAATGTGATGATGACATAGATGGAGATGGTAAATGTGTTTATATTTACTGTAACTGATTAATCATACAATTAGAACTCCAGTAAAGACTAAAAAGTTCCTTTGTTATTCATGTTCTTTGAGATGCGTGGTGAATGGACGTTCACCGCTTTTACTGCCTGAGTTAGATATGAAAAAGTGAGGAACACAATGTGAAATCAGTCGTCTGATAAAAACATTATTTAAATGTGAGGTTATCCTGTCTGTTCAGGACTGCTTAGGAGGAGGCAGATGAGGACACGTGTTATTGTCTGAACAGGTCTGGAAACCGTCTATCTGGTCAAAATATCCTCCTGCTCCTTTCTCTGGATCTGTTTTCAATTCACAGGATTTCAGGAGAAATGCTATAAAAGCCAATAAACAGTACTACATGTTCAAATATTCCACTCGCACAGTTAAATGTTTTTTCCCAACACTTCTCTCACTCAGCTCAGCCCTCGATGCGACCTTTAACTGTGCTCCAGTGGAAAACTCCTGCCTTTGTGTTTCGTCCCTCGTGTGTTCACTTGGCCTTCGTTTGGCGGTGCTTCTGCACCGTGATTGTTTGATAATGTTTTCGACTCCGAGGTCGGATTTCTGAGGAGTTTGCTCATGTCTGTCTCCTCGCTTAGAGCTTTTTTTCCACGCTGAGCCTCGGCCAGGGCCTTGAAGGCCAACTGGAAACTATTTCGCCAATGCTTTAGACGAACTCTGTCATCTGCTGGTGCTTTCGACTGAGCTGTAGGCTGTGATCTGCCGTGCTGTTCCTCAGCTCCCTCTAAAATGTTTTACGAAAGGATTTAAAGCTGAGGTTATTTATGTTTCCAGGGCTGAAAAATATCCTCGACAACTGCCAGCTAGTTCCCAACCTGGATCAGAGAGACAGAGATAATGATGGTGTCGGGGACGCCTGTGACAGCTGTCCGGATTTGGCCAACCCCAACCAGGTATCAAACTGTATTAACCCTAGAGCTTTCAAAAATATTTTGATAAATCAGCTATATCATATTAATCAGTAAAATGGAACAATATATGATCAGGGGGAGTTAAATTGGAATAGGTAGAAAATTATTTTTAGGTGTCGGGGTGTCCAATCCTGGTCCTCAATGGCCTCTTCAAGTTCTGTAGAAGACTATTAATAAGGAGTGGGATTAAAGAAAGTTTAACTTCTTCCTAATTCTTTTTGAATTTACTGAGTATGTACTGATGGTTCTTCTGGCTTAAGTTTATTTAACGCTGGTTAATTTGTCTGCTTACAGTCTGACTCAGATAACGACCTCGTAGGAGATAGCTGTGATGACAACATAGACAGGTAGAACCTCCACCATCTGGAAATGTTGGCATCAGATGTCACGTTTCACTCGCCCTATTTCTTTCTTTTTTATTTTAGTGACGGTGACGGCCACCAAAACACAAAGGACAACTGTCCCACTGTCATCAACTCCTCTCAGCTGGACACTGACAAGGATGGAATGGTTTTTACATCCTTTTCTTGTCTTATTTAACAGGTTTCCTTCATTCACTTAGCAGAGAACGTTGTGTTTAAAATCAGTCCACTTTTTCTTTTTTGTGAACAGGGAGATGACTGTGACGACGATGATGATAACGACGGCATACCAGACGACAGTGACAACTGTAGACTGGTCGCCAACCCAGACCAAACGGACTCGGACAGTTTGTGTTTTTCCTTCTACGTATATTTGTTTGTGAAAATCGAGGCCTCCGTCTGTTTCCGCTGATCTGTGCCGATGTTTCAGTGAACGGAGTTGGAGATGCGTGCGAAGGGGACTTTGACAAGGACAACGTGATTGATAGGATCGACCACTGCCCGGAGAACGCTGAGGTCACACTGACTGACTTCAGAGCCTATCAGACCGTGGTCCTGGACCCGGAGGGAGACTCACAGATAGACCCCAACTGGGTGGTACTCAACCAGGTCAATAATAAGTTTACATCCCAGTGTTTTTATTGCCCACTATCATGAACCACTGGATACGTTTGAACAAAACTTGCACAAAACCTTAATTGGAACTGACTAACTTTTGTCTTATTCTGACAGGGGATGGAGATAGTTCAGACCATGAACTCTGATCCTGGCCTCGCTGTAGGTGAGTTTTAACATGTGTGATCAGGATGTATTTCCCCTTTTCACCCACGAGTCCTCGGATCAGTGCTGCTGTGCGTTCCTCGTGTCCCTCTGCAGGCTATAAAGCATTCAGTGGGGTTGACTTCGAAGGGACGTTCCACGTGAACACGGTGACAGACGACGATTACACTGGCTTCATTTTCGGCTACCAGGACTCGTCCTCCTTCTACGTGGTGATGTGGAAACAGACGGAACAAACCTACTGGCAGGCTGCGCCCTTCAGAGCTGTTGCAGAGCCAGGAATACAACTCAAGGTGTGCGTCTGCTGTCGTTTGTTGGATTTTTGTTGGTGTTTTGTCTTAAGTGGTTCTTAAAGGGATCCCTGATTAGTTGTAACATTAGAATTTATTTGATAAACATTTATTTTAACTGTAAAATAAAGACTGTAAAAATACTGTAGGCTGTTTATTTTTGTAAATTTTTTAAAATATATTTTAACACGGTCAGAGCCATTTTATTTACACGCAAAGCATTCTTGGCAAATGATGACTGGCTAGGTCCTCGGTGTGAACGAACTATATCCACCCTGAAGGTTAATCTTGGACAATATCTGATGATCGACTCTTTTAAATGAATCCAGAGAGCATTGACAGAGAGGAGAAGGTAGAAATGACTCAGCCTGTAACTGAAAATATGGATGGAGGACAACAGAGCTGCTTCATGGAAGAAGAACCTCAGCTTAGCCTGTTAGCTTTAGCGCTGACGCTATATTGCCTTACGTGTATTAGCTCGGCACTAGCGCGACAAACAAGCTAAACTGTTGTCCTCCATCCATATTTTCATTTACAGCCTGAGTCATTTCTACCTTCTCCTCTCTGTCAACGCTCTCTGGTTTCATTTAAAAGAGCCAATAGTCAGATATTGTCCAAGATTAACCTTCAGGGTGGATATAGCAGCCTCGCACCGAGGACCTAACCACGTCATCATTTACCCAGAATGCTTTGCGTGTAAATAAAATGGCCCCATCCGTGTAATATATTTTTAAATTTTTAGTTTAAAAATGATAAAAACTGAACATACTACGGTAATTTTACAGTATTTATTACAGTTAAAATATATGTTTATTCAATAACATCTAATGTTACAACTAATCAAGGATCCCTTTAATCACCAGATGGTGAAGTCAAAGACAGGTCCTGGTGAGTACATGAGGAACTCCCTCTGGCACACAGGAAACACCACCGACCAGGTGCAGCTCTTGTGGAAAGACCCCCGAAACGTTGGCTGGAAAGACAAGGTGTCCTACCGCTGGTTCCTCCAGCACAGACCTCAGGTTGGATACATCAGGTACAAACACACACCATCATAAATACACGTCAAACACATATACTTATCAGAAATATAAGGGAGTTTGAGTTTGGTGGATTATTTCCTGATTGTAACAATTCTTCTTGACAATAAATCTTATAGCTGGCACCTTATTGGCAGCACCTGGGGGCACCAGAAGCTCAAAACAAGTGTCCAAAACAACAGCAAAGTAAGCTGTTTGGCAGAGAACATTTGGCACGTACTCAACTCTACTGCTCATCCTACAGATGCATGTTCCTTACAAATGTAGCACCATTTGAAAGAGAATTTAACAGGCTTTCCAACGGTATGATTTATCGCCAAGAAGCATTGTCACAMCAAAGAAATAATCTACCAAACACAAATATCCTTACTTTTTGAGCTAAGTTTAGATACTTTATAAACTATTTCATTACATACAAACCAGGGCTCGCTTTTACGAGGGTTCAAAGCTGGTGGCGGACACAGGGGTGATAATCGACACCAGCATGAGAGGCGGGCGGCTGGGCGTGTTCTGCTTCTCTCAGGAAAACATCATCTGGTCCAACCTGAAGTACCGCTGCAACGGTGAGGGGCCTGCAGATGTTTGACAGTCCAGCAGTGCAGTGCAGAATGTAAACATCCTCATGGGGCTTGTTTCCTTTCTCCCTCATTCATGCAGACACCATTCCCGCTGACTACGAGGATCTGCAGAGTACGGAGTGAGGTGGGGGCATCGTTGGGACAAAAAGGTCAAAGAGCCGAAGAAAAACAAATGAATGTGAGAAGAACGATGGAGGATTTAGTGCTGGGATTTTAACTGAATGAATCTTTAGGCATTAGTTACACTTACGTTGTGTAAATGAATTGTTTATCTATGCAATGTATCACTTTAAATTACACCCACACTTTACAGTTAGCCTCAAAGCTCAATTTGTAACAATACTCAAATTATAAACTCAAACATACAAATGCTATACTGGACACACGRTTCAGTTTGGAAAGGTTTACTACAGTAGTTTTTCAGATTATTTAGTTCTGAAATGCTGGTACGCACTCAATGTAAATACTCTGTTGAATTCACTAAAAATCAGGTGGAGGCTTGAGTCATGTGACTGAGCTCCATTAGGCTGAATGCAGTCTGTAAGTGAATAAATATTAAATATGTGAAATATTGTTTTAAAACTTATTTCAAACTAGATTGTTTCAGAACCTTATCTGCTTTTTTAACTCAACCTGAACACGAATACGTTCAAAAGTAAGGGACTTCTCAATCTCAACCATCTTTTTCATGGACAGACAGACATGAYTGGCCTATTTTGAAGTCACTTTGGCTGTTTCTGTAGCAGCTGTTCACAAATTTTGCTCACAAATTTAAATTTAAGGACACATTAACCATCAACATCAGCAAAAAATTATGCAACTTTTATTTCATATCAAGTGTTTTTTAAACCCATCTTTACGACTTTGAAATAAGTACCTCAAATGTTTCACACAATTCAACCATGTTCTTGTGTATGATCTGTATAAAATAAAAATAAAGACTAATAACTTACACGGCTTTTCTGAATGTTTTATTGAAAGAATGTGAGCCACATGAACTGCATGTAACCTTTCATCTTTGTATCACAAACAGTTTGGTCAGATAGTCTCACTGTGGTTTTTAACCTTTACCAGATCATATTCAATGTTTTATCATTTGTTTGAAAGCACCAGTACATTTCTACATTCAGAGTGGTTATTAAAAATTGCAAAGTTTTTACAAAACAACAGTTTTAGCAGAAGCAAAATCTAAATAAAATGTCCAGATTAAACTGTTAACTGTCCAAAGTGTTAGGAAAACAATAAAAAACTGACCTGCTTGTACAATATGCTGTGTTTACTTTGATTAATACAGGAAAAGACATTATTACGGCAGTAAACTCAACATCCAGTGTTGAATAAATCACCTAAAATCAGCCATGATGAACTACTTGAATCAGCATATGTTGACACACTAACAAAACCCAAAAAGTATTTTCTTATGGTACAGAAAATAAAAATGGTTTAGGTGTAAATGCAAGCAAACACAAAGCTCTTCTTTTCGTCATTCTCTGTAGATCAAATACTCTGAATAGTTTTCATTTTTTCTGTCGTCTACCTTTGGCAAATGCAGCGTTGAGTTGGTGGACCTCTTCCAGAGACGTGGAACTTCACTGAAGTCAGACTCACTAAAGGCAGGCTGATTTAAGGAGTGCTGCCCTGCACAATGACGATGCAAGAAAGGACGTGAACTCCAAGAAAAAGATTGGCTCAAAGGGAGCACAGACAATAATAAAACTTTACTTTTGTTATCTAGGTGGGAACTTCACAACAGGAGGCGATTAATACTAAGAAGCTCTCATTCTGTTGCATAGAAAACTACAAAACAACATATAAAATCGTCAACATATAGAGCTTAAACACGAGCCTGAGAAATGAGTTTTTGAACAAAGTTAGGGCCATATCCGATTTCGTTTACGCTTTAATAAATACATTTCTTTTTTTTTTTCCTTTTTAAGTAAATTTGGCCCAAAACTCAAAAAGGTTTGGCCCAAAACTTTGCTACAAACTTCTGGTTTGACTTCACAGATCTGAAATACCTGGCTGAGAAAAGGAAAAAAAAAAAGGGGGGAATTCAATAAAAAAAAAAAATTCTATAAACGTTCACTTTCAAGTCAGAAGTTTTCAGGGATGTAACTCAGCTCCTACATTTTTTTATTTATTTAACTTCAAACCTTTAAGTAATACAAAACTCCAGTCAGTGGTAGTAAAATAAATTAAAAAAATTTTACCAATAAGGTATTTACAGCTTAACATCATAAAACAAAGACTGTAACGTACAAAACAAAAGGCAACAGATAATCCTTCTTTTATATTTGAGGGTAGAGTGGGGTTGCGTTTAAAGGTAAAGAGGGGAAGTATGGTGGTCCCTTGGCCCACATCCTACAGAGCAGGACAGGTGGACACTTCTGTAAGGATGGCTGATTTTAGGCCTCGAAGCGCTTCGGGCACATCATCGGGGCGATGAGGGTCATGATGTAGAGGAAGAGACAGACCCAGCAGGAGACCATCTTGGTCCAGAACACAGACCAGCTTCCGTCCAGCAGCTTCTCGATCTTATGGTCATCGTAACTGCAACAGAGGCGCGGAGTCACACAGCAGACTCATGGCCATCTTTTTCAATGGATTTTTTTTGCAGCAAAGAAATTAACCAATTACTATTTTAGCAGGAGTTAAGTCTGTAACTAATTTATCAAGTTGATGCAAATGCTAAACTGCTCAGCATAATATTAGCGGGTTAGCGGATGAGTGGAACTGTGTCCACCACTRATAAGAGGAAATAAAAACAGGTGCTATCAGTCACAGAATGGCAGCCACAACAGAAAACATCAGCAAACAAAATGAAGCTTACTGAAACCAGTTGGTGACGGTCATCATGACGTAAAGAGAGCCCAAGAAGAAGATGAAGTGGAAGAAGGAATAGCTGTAGATAGTTCCTTCCTGTTCGTCATATACCACGTTCTGACCCGAACCCGTTTTCTCCTCATTGTTGTCCTCTGGAAGAAGAAAAAAAACAACAACAATAAATCATTTGGGAAGACTGAAACAGCAGTAAAAAGAGACACAAAATGTGCTGGTTACACTCTCTAACGTCTGATTTCCAGCAGGTGGCAGTGTGAACACATGTTTGCTTCTGATGCTACTTCAGTGTCACACTAACCTCCTAGTAACAGTGACATCATCTGGGTTTGTTGACCAATGCTTTTTCACCACACTCACTTTGACTATAGAGTAGCAAGAACTGGAGCCAGTACTTCGTGAACAAACATTTCCCTTAAATGAACGCTCACCTGCGTCGTCTCCATAGCAGAAAAAGCAGCGAGCTCTCTGCAAAGAAAGAAAAATAAACGTATATGTTTTATGTCTCACAGGGTTCATGTATTCAAGTTTATCTCTAAATTAAGCTGGGTTGTTAATGTTTTTAACAAGTCTGCATATTTATTTCCCCCACACACCCTGTGAGGTCTGAATATTTGTGCGTTTACCTCAGTCTCTGGCTCACTGTCCCTGTACACTCTGAGCGCCGCAGAGCTTCGCCTAGTGGTGGAGGTCAAACTATAGCCAAGCACACAAAGAGAAACAAGAAGGCATGAAAAAGGTTATAATTACAACACTATCCCCCCCTCAGATAAATTGCAGTTTTGGAAGGGAGCAGAGCCTAATTTCCTCCTTTAAAAAGCAGAACGACCACAGGAGACAGGATGCCTCCACTTCGATGGGAAACACATGTGAAGAAGAAAAAAAAAATCAAAAAGCCACAGTTTTCGTCTCTCACAGCCTTTCTGCTCGGCCTCAGCCAATCAGACGTGCACTTTTCAGAGTCACAGCCAATACAAACTGAGCTCTCTGTGTCACTATCTGATTTTACAAACTGCTTTTGGCTGTTGCTGTACGATTTCACCCCTTTATACATGGAACCAAACGGCACAAAAAAGACGTTATTACTGGAGAACCAAGACGTGTGGACATGTCTTTGAGAGTTAAGACATTCTGAGACATTCTTTAACCCAAGTTCAAAAAGCTGTTTTGGGTGTCGTAGATGGCTTTGGTTTGCATTTTGGCATTTGGCTTATGCTAGGGTAAAGAATAAAAAAACAAGAACAGCRGGTAGTAAAAAAGGCATCAGAATATCAGCCACAAATTAACTGATTTAAGCAAAACAAAACTTGAAACTCTTCAAGTAGTTTGTACTTGTCAGGAAAACCAGAATGAGGTTGATGCAGAACAGAGAAATTACATTTAATAAGACACACACACACACACACACACAGGACTGTCAATTGAGCTTTATCAAACAAACATATCAGCTGATACATTCTCTGAGAGGCACTGGTTCAGAAGCGTCTGACAGTCTGTGTAGTTTTGTCAGCCATCTTAAATTTAAAGAATTGGACGAGTTGGGTCTTAAGTAGATGGAGTTTCAGATCAGAACAACTTTGTCTGCCATAATTTTTACTGAAATTATTAATGAATGGTTTTGATTTTAGGCTTAGCTTTAAATCAACATGTACACTCACCGGCCACTTTATTAGGTACACCTGTCCAACTGCTCTTTAACACTTAATTTCTAATCAGCCAATCACWTGGCGGCAACTCAGTGCATTTAGGCATGTAGACATGGTCAAGACAATCTCCTGCAGTTCAAACCGAGCATCAGTATGGGGAAGAAAGGTGATTTGAGTGCCTTTGAACGTGGCATGGTTGTTGGTGCCAGAAGGGCTRGTCTGAGTATTTCAGAAACTGCTGATCTACTGGGATTTTCACGCACAACCATCTCTAGGGTTTACAGAGAATGGTCCGAAAAAGAAAAACATCCAGTGAGCAGCAGTCCTGTGGGCGGAAATGCCTTGTTGATGCCAGAGGTCAGAGGAGAATGGGCAGACTGGTTCGAGCTGATAGAAAGGCAACAGTGACTCAAATAACCACCCGTTACAACCAAGGTAGGCAGAAGAGCATCTCTGAACGCACAGTATGTCAAACTTTGAGGCAGATGGGCTTCAGCAGCAGAAGACCACACCGGGTGCCACTCCTTTTAGCTAAGAACAGGAAACTGAGGCTACAATTTGCACAAGCTCATCGAAATTGGACAAGAGAAGACTGGAAAAACGTTGACTGGTCTGTCGAGTCTCGATTTCTGCTGCGACATTCGGATGGTAGGGTCAGAATTTGGCGTCAACAACATGAAAGCATGGATCCATCCTGCCTTGTATCAACGGTTCAGGCTGGTGGTGGTGGTGTCATGGTGTGGGGAATCTTTTCTTGGCACTCTTTGGGCCCCTTGGTACCAATTGAGCATCGTTGCAATGCCACAGCCTACCTGAGTATTGTTGCTGACCATGTCCATCCCTTTATGACCACAATGTACCCAACATCTGATGGCTACTTTCAGCAGGATAATGCGCCATGTCATAAAGCTGGAATCATCTCAGACTGGTTTCTTGAACATGACAATGAGTTCACTGTACTCAAATGGCCTCCACAGTCACCAGATCTCAATCCAATAGAGCATCTTTGGGATGTGGTGGAACGGGAGATTCGCATCATGGATGTGCAGYCGACAAATCTGCGGCAACWGTGTGATGCCATCATGTCAATATGGACCAAAATCTCHGAGGAATGCTTCCAGCACCTTGTTGAATCTATGCCACGAAGAATTGAGGCRGTTCTGAAGGCAAAAGGGGGTCCAACCCGTTACTAGCGTGGTGTACCTAATAAAGTGGCCGGTGAGTGTATATTTGCTTATGTAATTTTAAAGCTTTTAGTTGTGATGATTCAAAATGGATTATGAGGCTAGAAAAAGCATAAATGTAATTGTAAATTGGCAAAAATGTGCATCTGTTATGTTTAACAACTTTTCTGAGTGCATTTATATTATTTGTATTTAATAATACAAGGACATCGAACAGCAATATAAAAACATAAAGACTGAAATATGCACGTAAAACACAGAAACACTAATTAAAAGCAGCAGAAGTACAAAACTACACGAGTCAAAATCAACTAGGGTAAGCAATCCAAAAGAGATGGATGAAAAGAACTGATTTAAAACGAAAACTTTGTTCACAGTTAAAGCTGCAGTTTCCTATTTTAGTTCTTCCAACAGCTCAAACCACAAAGCAAAAATGTGTCAAAATGCAAAACATTAAATCTTACCAAGAGTAAATGATGCAGGCAAACAGGATAATGGTTCCGATTGCAGTGACGATCTGCTTGTCGCTTTCTGACCCGGAGTTCAGGGGGAACACGCACACGGTTTCGTTCTTACCGTCTAGCTCTAAAACTAAACAAAACAAGAATGTGCAAACAGAAAAATACTTAAAACTTTAACGTTTTTATTCTAGTTTTAAACATACAAACGTACAGGACTAAATAAAAATTTACAATGTAAATAACAGATTTATCCAAATGAATATTTGTTCCTAGCTGTGATTAGACATGTTTGTACTCACTTTCTTTTGGTTTGCTGGAGAAGGCTGAGAAGGTGAGGTACATGACGTACACACTGATGACTCCTGGCTGCAACAGGCCTGATTTGGGCTGCACTGCAAACACACAAAAACAACACAAAATTTCAACATAAATGTCTCTATTTAGGACATTTGACATTAAAGCTACTGTCTTAAAACATAAAGTCAGTCAGTTGTTTTGATCCACTGTAAAAAAGCATCTGTAAATTGGGCTCCTTACATTTTTGTATGAAGGGGGAGATGGCGAGGAGCGAGACAATGAGGCAGAGGCTGCCATTGATGCCCAGGAATATCTTGTTAAGTAAACAGGCCTCGGGGTGTGTGTAGAACACCCCCATAAAGACCACYGCTCCCACTGCGACGCTGAACAGAACCAGGGTGACCAAGGCCAGAGCTGCGTACCACAGACGGTTGTACTCCACACCTGAACTCCTGCAGGCAGAAAGAGAGAAACACAACAGAGAGGAAACAAAGAACACAAGGGAAAACAAAAATAAAATCAACTTGAAAAAGGAAATAAACTGAACGAGTAGGAAATTAATGTCAAGAGGGATTTAAAACTTAAAAAAGTGACCCAGGAGAAATTGTCCTAAAAAAATAAATGAATAAAAAAAGAGAAATGTTTGACGAGTTATAACTTCATGAGGACAAGAAATAATCATTTAAGAGCTTTTAATTTGTGAACAAAACCTCCACATATAATAAACAAATATACTAGCTGTCAAAAAATGTGATTTTTAATGTTTTTGATAGGAATTTTTATGCTTTTAACACAACTTCTCCAACATTAATTGGAGGTTAATGAATCAGTTTTTATGTAAATATCAAGACAAACAGAAAATATTCCGCAATTTTGTTCAAATAAATGTATCGATTAGTTACCATATGTTGCAGAAATTTTCCCATCGCAGTTCAGAACATCTCAGCAGAACTCATTTAGCTCTGACTTTTACTTTAATGCTCTCCTCCGCTTGATTTGATCCCCAAAGGACTGCTTCTGTTGACTCATCCTTACAGCTTCTAGCTGGTGTTTTCAGAAGAACTTTACCGTTTCACACCTGACCTGGTGCCTCTGGTTACATTTTTCTCTCTATGACCTTATTTACAACAGGTRAATATTTGATAAATAACAGCTGGCTCCCAGATTGTCTGAAGTGTACTGTCAATGTTCAAATATAAATAATCAGCTTTAATTGTAGCTAACAAAACATGATTCTGGTCTTAATTACAAATTACATGGAAGACTTTTGGTAGTGAAAGATGTTATTTAGTGGTTATTTTTTTGATACACGGATACAAAAAATCGAATCAAAAACACTGAAAAATTGCGTATTTTGACAACTATTACTGTTTTAAATTCACTGACAGCTGTCAAACATTGCGTCTGTGTGAACTGAACTGTGTGCATCCAGTGAATCTTCTGATGATCACTGACMAGCTGCCATGTCTGACTCCCTCATGCAGAAAAGTACAAAGCTGCGTGACTTCCTCTGGTTTTTTTTTTTGTACATCATTTTTTTTTCTTTCCCCAAACCAAACAACTCCACAGAAAAATACATTCCACCCTTTTTACTGTAGTTTTTCCAAGTACAAAGCAGGACACAGATTTTATTTAAATGTCATCTCCACAGTCGTCAAGTTTTTGGGACAAAACAAAGAAAAGACGAGTGCCTCTCACCAGTTTGTGTTCCATCTGTGAGCAAACTCCACCAACAACAAGAGCTGGATCACCAGGAACAAGCCGCCGCCTACGGCTCCGATGTAGCGCCAAACTGTGGCCGTGAAGGAAGAAAGAGCAAACGTTGAAATCGTAACAACAAAAACAACATTTTATATTAGCAGCATATTGATGTTGCACTATAAGTAATCAAGAATAAAAGTTGTACTTAAAGTACAAGAAGCTAACTTTATTTTACTTTGACATTTTACTTACAGGTACTTTACTTTTAGGACAGACATGTACAAATTCTCTTCACATCCAAAATATAAGAAGTTTTGAAGAGATTGCAATAATTAAACTGTGATGTTGCTCTAAAGAAGATTTTGTTTTTACCTTCCAAAAAGGTTTCCTCTTGTGGGATGAAGAAGGCTCCGGTGCAGCAACCCCCCAGCAGAATAAACTTCAGCAGCCAGAACCTAACATTTGAGGGAAAGAAAAGGAAAAACACAGAAGAATCAAAACTAGAACAAAGAGTAAAAAAGCTGCAGTTTTATTGCTTTTGAAAGTAGAAGGAAGAACGACTCCATTTATGCCACAAATCAAACACCTCTTTGTCTTATTTTTAACTTTTAGTTAATACACTATATTAAAACTCTGTCAGAATGTCTTTGAATAATTCTTTATACCCGTTGTGTATGGCCGCCCTGCAGCCCGTGCTGTTATTGATTCGTAAGGTGAAGATACAGAAGAACAAGAAGAAACAGGCCATTCCAAAACACATCTTGTAGACAGCCGAGTATCCAACCAGCGTTTTGCAGTTTTCCCCTGCATTCATCTTCTCACACATTTGGTTGTAGAAGGGGATCTGTAAGGCAAAACCATAGAGCCAAAACACCAAGATTAGATCACTGTAGTGGAAAAGGGAAACCCACCTTTGCTCGTGTTTGCATAGGGGATAGCCTCARTGAAAGGGCCCAATAGTGTCTATTCTGTCTGTCACGCCTCTAAAGAGGGACCAGAAAAACAGAACAGGCAACAAAAACAAATGCACCCTCTCCCTGTGGAGCCCTCATTCATCCTTCATTCTCTCCAGCCTGTAAGAGGGGCCTTACAACCAACTGTCRGTGTACACAAACAAAGGCCACAGATGAATAAATTAAACGGCTTTTGTCACAGAGTCAGAGAAACGGGAAGAAGGGAAAACAAGTGTACACAACCAGAGAAAGACTGGATTTTACTTTAAATCCAGAATCCAAAAAGCTTCTCTGAACCAACACTGAAGTGTACTACAGGAATCTAACATAAAGAGACACCTGTTAAACTCCATAAGCAAAGAATGAAAGCCTAAATAACTACTACAACTACTACTACAACTACAACTACTACTTTATTTATAAAGCACTTTAAAACAACCACAGCTGCAACAAAGTGCTGTACACATAAAATCAAAACATGAAAAACACAAAACAATGATTAAAAAAATTAAAAACAGTAAAAATAGGAATAAAACTAAAAACAAGTCTCAGGCTGTGCCAAAAGCCAGGGAGTAGAAATGTGTTTTTAGAAAAGTTTTAAAAACAAGTGACTGTAACTGGTGCAGGAATGTCAGAAAAAAGCACAAAAGATGATGTTAAATGGTTTCGACTGGCCTAACTAATCAACAGTAAAGTGGTTTTACAGTTAACGTACATGACTGAGTCCCCACTGGATTGAGCCGTCTTCTCTTCAGTGTGTAGCAAAGTTCAGACACAGATCACAACATAAAGCAAAAAGCCCATTTTGGAGCTTTTGTCCGGTGTTTAAGGAGCATATTAGCATGTCCATGGTGTTGTGATTGAGAGAAAAAAAAGGCTCTGGTTGTTTCAAACTGCTGTAAATCTTTTGAGAAAAGATCAGCACTCGAGCATACAATGGCTGCTCTCTGAGCTGGGACTTCCCACTGCGCTCAGTGTGTGACAGTGTGTGTGTGTGTGTGTGTAACTTGGCAGGCTTTGAGCAAGGCTATCAGGCCATTTTGTGTCTGAACAGGTCTTATAGGATTCTCATATCACAAGTATGAACATTGGGCCTCATGCAAGAACCGTTCATACGCACAGATTTGTTCTTAAGTTGTGCGTACGAGTGATTTAGGAG